TATTGGGAATAGATATTCATGCCCACACTATTGAGGCTCTTCACTATTGAGAAGTATTTTGTTTCAATCTCCAGGGAGTTTTGTGTCCTAGATCCCTCATTCTGCCTTTTTTTTTTTTTTTTTTTTTTTTTTTTTGGTAGAAAGGGACTCTTTTCCTGCCTCCAAATCTTTTGGAAGTTCCTTTTTGAATCCAGGTTCCTTTGGCATAGGAGGACTGGGCTTGGGTGGGCAGGAGCCTTAGGGAGACAGAAACGAGGGTATGGAAGTCTGAAGCGTGCAAAGCTGGTTGAGCTTTCATCCTGGGGCAGAGTCTTCAAAAGGGAGGAATTGGTCTGTATGTAGTTTTCTTTTCACTCTCTATTTTTAAACACCCTAGAGGGACCCTAGGTGTTTTCTTCTTATTATTAGATTCAAATTAAGTCTCTAAATAAACTATGCTCCTCTTAGGAGCCCAAGACTCACATTTAGAAGAAATGTGTCATTTAAAGTGCTTTTCTGAAGTCACATGGTATCTTTTCATCATCCTTTGAGCTCTGTGCCTTTTTTGGCTCAGGGGTAGAGAAAAACTTTCTCTTCTTCCTTCCCTCAGTACTTTTCCCATCTAAGACTGACAAAGAGAGCATGGCTTACCCTGTAAAACTTGCACACAAGTAGTTAGTAGCCGGCAAGCATAAGACAGTTGTATGTGTTGAGGTAAGAGAGGCATGTGGAGGAGCGCAGGTGACAGCAATTCATGCATGTGGGAAGCCGAGCCTAGCAATGGCAATCAAGAGGGCTTTCAGGAGGAGGGGCCATTGATGATCACCTTAAATGTTGGACAGGGCTTGGAAATACAATCAAGGAAACAGCTAAGTTTCTATCTGTTCCCACTATTGTCTCACCACGAATCTTTGTTCTCCACGTTGCTGCCAGTGACAGCCACCCATCCGTCTATCATCATCCTTCCATCTGTACGTATGCACGCGTCACTCATCTGACATTTCATTCATTCATTCATTCATTCATTCATTCTTGCAATGGTTCTCCCATCTTTCCACCCAATCTTATACTTTCTACCAAGGCTCTACTCTGAAGCATGCTGAAGACACAAATATTAAGAAGACAAGATTCTAGCTTGTAAGGAGCACATGGACCAGTGGTTAGCTGGACAATTAAAAAATAATAATAATACAGTGCAATAAGTGCACCCTATAGAAGTTTGTTTGAAATATGTCTGTATAAATGGCTCCTTTCCTGACACCCAATCTGGAATTGGTGGTTATTATTCTTTTTCATAATATTGTTTTTTTCCCTTTAGAGCAGTATCCCAGTTTGTTATTTTATACTTAGTAGTATGTTTATTTGCTTAGTATTTGTCTACCCCAGTTGACTGGTAGGTCCTATTGTCACTGAAAAGGGACTGGGCCCGAGTGGGTCTGCCTCATGCTGGCCTGTAGTGTGTGGGTTCTTGACTTCATGCAGGAAAGATTTCATAATATGAGTGCAGGTGATTTTGAGAGTATGTTTGTTAAAGCTAGGGACACTGAAACAAAGGAAGGGCTTAGGGTAGAAGAAACAGCAGGAGAGAGGCTAGGCAGTGCTCTGCTTTGGCTCCCTGGAAATGGTACAGGAAATAAGTGAGCTATGCAGCGATGTGTGGACTCACTGAGAAGTACCATATTTTTGCTGTGTATACTGTGCGCCCACGTTTTTTGCCCAAACTTTCAGGAAAAAAAAATCTTCCATTTTAATTTTTTAATCCAATTATTTATTTATTTCTATTTAGATACTTGTTTTTTGTATTATAAAGGAATTTTAACATTTATTTTTGAACATATTATGGTACAATTTTATGTAACAAATCATTACAAAACACAAGAACAGATACAAGTTATTTCAGACACTACCCATGTATAATGCTCATTCCTAATTTTCCCTAAAAAATTTGGGCAAAAAGGTGAGCATTATACATGGCAAAATACAGTAGGTCATAGTTACAGAAATGAGCCAAGGCAAGGATGCTGTTAGCTTGCTGAAAAGTCAGAGAAAAGGGAGCCTTGGAGCCAGGTTCAGGGGGTTAGCCCAAGAGCTGCCCACTGCTCGCCTGGTTGCAGGTCTTGCCAGGATCCTTAGAGCTTAGGAGAAAGAGAGCAGAGATATATGCCTGAGAAAGGGGGAAGAAGGGTGTCAGCAGGCTCCAGAAGGTCTCAGGGGAGGATCTTAATGGAATATGCATCAGCTTTCCAGGTGTGTCCTTTCAGGGTCATGGTTTCCACTGATTGGTTGGTGCGAGGGGAGGGGTCATTAGTCCTTGCATCTGTTCCTGATGTCAGCCATGGCGTTGCTCACTCTGATTTCGCTGCTTTTCTGGGCCTTGAGCTGAAACACAACTGAGGTCTAAATGTCATTGCTAGTGTGACAAAAATTCTTTCTTCATGGTCAATGGACCAGAGGCTTTGTTCCTAAGATCATCTCATACAGGTCAGAACTTCATTGTTCTGAGGGCCAAATGCTTAAGAGAGCGGTCATGCAAGGGCTTGTATGGGAGTTATATGAGGCTATTTTCCGGCCCCTTGTTCCTCCTCTAAGGGGGTCTAAAACCACATGACTAGTGATATGACAGGGGAGGAAAGGTGAGGGGAGGATCCAACCCACATGACCAGCAATATGAAAGGTCAGAGAGTTTAAACCACATGGCCAGCATATGCTAGGGAGGAAAGGTCACCCTGGGGCCCAGGTCCTTGTTTTCCCAGGTTTGCCTGTTGCTAGGTACCCTGCAAATTCTGCCCTGGTAACTTTCTGTACCTGGCCCATCGTCCTTGCTCTGCTCTTACCTGTCTTACTGCCTACCACACTATTACTGCTTTGCTTATATTGAATACTCAACATTTTATCGATGTCTGGTATGCAGTGGACACACTGAATGAATTAATAAATAAGCATTGATCATACCCAGGAATAATTTATTGCACTAAACCAGTGGCACTCAAAAGTGTAATACTTGGAACAGCAGCATCAAGAATACCTGGCAACTTGTTGGAAGTGAACATTCTTGACCCCAGCCTACACCAGGATTAGAATGATGTCCAGCAATGGAAGGTTTGCTTTTTTTTAAAGATGATATTTATTTATTTTTAGACAGAGGGGAATGGAGGGAAAAATAATAAGGGAGAGCAACAGAGGGGAAGGGAGGGAGAGAGGAAGAGAAACATCAGTATGTGGTTGCCTTTTGTATGCCCCCTCCTGGGGACCTGGCCCACAACCCAGGCATGTGCCCTGACTGGGAATCGAACTGGCGACCCTCTGGTTCGCAGACTGGCACTCAGTCCACTGAGCCACACCACCCAGGGTTGAAAGTTGTTTTTTTTTTTTTTTTTTATCCTCACCCAACGACATTTTTTTCATTGCTTTTAGAGATGGGGAAAGAGAGGGAGAGAGAGAGGAAGAGAAAGAGCGGTATGACAAAGAAACATTGATCAGTTGCCTCCCATATGTACCCCAACCAGGGACTGAACCCGCAGCCTGGGTATGTGTCCTGACCAGGAATCAAACCTGCAACTTTTTGGTGTACACATTGACCCTCCAACCAATAGAGCCACACTGGCCAGGGCAGCAATTCAAGTTTTAACAAGCTTCCTGGGGGATTCTGATGCACACTCAAGTTTGAGAATACAGTACTAAATTGTTAAATGATCGTTTTAGTCTACCTGAAACACCTATAGATTTTTAGCACATTGACCAGAGAAATTATGTCTGAATTGGAGAATGCCTAAAAAAAAAAGTGATATTTCCATGGAAGTCTGGAGCTGGATGAGCTAGGCAAAGTCAATTCAGGCAGAGAATTGTCTACCCCAAAACATGTAGGCTTGGGTTAGCCTGGCCTTTGGGGGACAGGGAGGATATGTAAGAGGGAGGATCCCATGCATTGCAGGGAATGACCTGAAGTAAGAATGAAGATGTAGGCAAGGGTCTTGAATGCCAAGTTACTTTCTTTCTTTCAAAAATTGTTTATTCTATTACAGTTGTCCCAATTTTCCCCTTTTGCCCCTCTCCCCCCGAGTCCCTCTTTTCCACAATCAACCCCCACACTGTTGTCCACGTCCGTGGGTGAAGCACATACATATCTTCTTTGTTTAATCTCTTCACCTTCTTTCAACCAGGCCCACCCTTCCCTCTCCCCTCTTTAGAGCTATCAGTCTCTTCCTTGTTTGAACATCAGGTTTCAAACTGGGAGGTAACTCGGGATTCCGGTATTCGGTTTCCCGTCCCTACAGCTGTGTTGACTGCTCTGAGTCAGACTTCTAAGAGTTCAATTCCTGCTGGCCTTCCTCCTCCCTCCCTCTTCTATCTCCTCCCTTCCCCTGAGAGGGAACCGCCCAGGCTTTTAGACCAACGCCACCCCTCCCTCCCTGACCTACCCGCTGACGTCAGCTCCGCCGGGCGGGTCTAGTTTGCGCCTAGAGCCAGGTCTGGCCCAGCGGCCGGGCCTTGGGGAAAAACCCTGGCTGTCCGTGTGCTTTCCGGAAGCCGCGCGAGCGTCCCTAGCAGGGGGGTCACCGGGGGCTTCCAGGGCTCAAGAGAAAGTCTCTTGTTCCGGGGACATCTTGTTCCGGGGGTGGGAACGGCAGTGTCAGACCTGTGGTTTCTTAGAACCCAGGCTGGCGTCACTCAGCACCACCTCTCCCAGGCCAGCTGGCCCTGGGCTACGGCCCCTCCCATCTCACCGCTGACTCACAGTCCCCAAAGCCTTCTAAATTAAATTCTGCTTGGAGGTGATAAAGGGTGATAGCAGCCTTAACAACAGTAGGTACCATTTATCGAAGGCCTAGTGTACTGGCACTGAGTCACTTTACAGTTCTCAAATTTATGTATGCAAAGTGCCCCTTGCAATAAATACTTTTCACCACCACGTTTAGCATACATAAATAACCAACCTACATCACAGTTTCATATTAGACCATAAAATGCCACAATGTAAAGGGGTAAGTATAATAAATTTATAATACAAAAAAATACATTTTGTGCCCTCTTGGGCAGCACATATACTAAAATTGGAATGATACAGAGAAGATTAGCATGGCCCCTGCAGAAGGATAACACGTAAATTCATAAATCATTCTATATTTAAATATATAAGTATATAGTCTGCCTGGAAAAACTCCAGGCATCATTAACAAAACGAGAACAGTTTGCACAACATCGATGTAACCTGGCAGCCAGGGAGAGTGGACTAGAATGCACGTGTGCGGACAAGGCCGACTGCACTGCACTAGTCAGTGGGAGCGGTAGAGGCTGTTGAGTGAGCATGTGTGCTGTGTGGCCATCTCATTCAAAATGGCTGAGCAAGTAGAGCAACGAATATGCGTCAAATTTTGTGTTAAGCTTGAACATTCCTCTGCAGAAACTATTCAGATCATTCAGAAGGTTGCAGCTACGGGCAACTGGTGATTGACAGCTTCATCACAACAATGCGCCTGCTCACGAATCATGTCTTGTGCAGAGGTTTTTGGTGAAACATCACATCACCCAGGTGACTCAGCCCCTTAGATACAGCCCAGATTTGGCACCCCATGACTTCGGGCTTTTCCCAAAACTAAAATCACCTTTGAAAGGGGAAGAGATTTCAGACCATTGATGAGATTCAGGAAAATATGACAGGGCAGCTGATGGCAATTCTAACAAAGGATCTTGCAGTGTTTTGACCAATGGAAGAGACATTAGGAGAACCGTGTGAGGTCCCACGTTGCCTACTTTGAAGGGGACTGAGGTTTCATTGTCCTATGTACAATGTTTCTTCTTCTTCAATAAATGTCTCTATTCTTCTTCACATGGTTGGATACTTTCTAGACAGACATATATATTTACATATAATAAATATATATTTATTATATATTATATAAATCTCAATATAGAAATGGTTTGACATACTCCCACTAGAAGGTATAATGAAGCAATCATATGTTTGTTCTTTAGATTGTCTGTGAATATGCAACTAGGAATACAGACTGATACAGGTATGTTACATTAGTGGCTCAAATACCACCAGTATTATTGCCATTCAGTTATGATCATCTGCGGTGGTGAGCTCTCCTGCTTAAGTTCCAAATAAAATAGGAGTCCAATCTTCCCTTTGTTGATGTGGTGCACTACGGTCGCTCACTCTCTCTCTCCCCTCCAGATCCAGCCTACCTCCCTTCTCTACTCTGCTTTTGGCCCTGGAAGTCTGACCCACCAACCATGCTCCTGCCCTCTGGTTTCCTATTGTGTTTGGCTAATAAGAGCCCTGGCAGGAACTGGAGTGAGGGAGGTAAGGGAGACTGGGGCGTTTATTTTTCTGCCTACCTCCCTGGCTGTATTTCTCAACCTAAGTTCACTGCTGCTCTCAAGGTGGCAATAGTGGATTCTTCCCTTTCATTCAGGCCCCTTTTGGCAGAGAATGCTAGCTTTCATCCTCATACCCATCATCCCCACCTTCTTTACTCCTATACTGGAGGCAGCAATGTTCCTGGCTAATAAAACCACAACCTTGTCTTCATTGCAGAAGGGGATGGCTAATGAGAAGGCAGTGGAAGTGAGTGGGTGGGGTTTTGAGAAAGCTGTTGTGGGGGCTAAAAATAATAACACTTTTCTTCTCATCTTCTAAGTTCTTCTAGCGGGGTTAATAATCAAATTAATAAAGAGAGGTTAACATGAGAAAATCAAATTTTAATGTGTGCATGAGGAATTCACATAAGCATGAAAATTTCAAAGACAGTGAGGCAACATGTGTTATGAGAAATGCATTGTTAGGCAATTTTTATCATTGTGAAAATATCAGAAAGTGCCCTTATACAAACCCAGATGATGTAGCCTCCTATACACCTAGCCTATTGGTCCTAGGCTAGAAGTCTATCCACTCTGTTACTGTACAACATGCGATTAAATCATGCACAGGAGAAAATGATGCAACAAAGGACACAGTAAACATGAGGTATATGAGGCAGCTGTCCATTTATCATGGCATAGTTTTACAGCAATCTTTTTTTAATACAGATAAAAATTATACTATAGTAAGTACATAAGCCGGTAAATAGTAATTTCTTATCATTATCAAGTGTACATAATTGTATGTACTATGCTTTTTTTCTGACTGGCAGTGCAATAGGTTTATTCACCCTGGTATCACCACAAATATGTGAGTAATGCATTGCTCTATGATGTGACAATAGCTGCAACATCATTAGGCAAAAAGAGTTTTTCCAGTTTCATTATAATCCTATGGGGCCACCTTTGTATATGTGACTGAAATGTCATTATGTGGCACATGACTGTATTCTAGAATCAGAGGAAACCATGTATAAAAGGATGTTGTAAATACTAAACACATATTAGATTGTATGGTTATTAATTTTATTAACATTATAGATTGTTGTTACATAAGTGTCACAGTTAAGTAGTTTCTAGTATGTAGTATGCAATTTGCTGGAGGGAAACTCCTGTTAAATGGTGCTAACCTAAATATAAAAAGTCAAAATAAGAGGCAACAAGTGTTTATTTGAGAATCAAAGAATTGCAATTCTGGAAGCATAGATTCAGGCAGAAACCCAAATAGTGTCTCGATTGAAGCGTGAGGATAAGGAGTTTTTATGAGAAAAAGAAGGGAATAATTACATGAATAGAAGAAAGACATTCCTATTATTGCTAACAAGCTGCATTACTCTTTAGCTATACATAGCTATGCTGATTCTATCTTCAGAAAGAGAGTCCATAATCTTCAGTCCTTGTGGTCAGGATGTCTGCTTTCCTGTTAGCTTTACAAAGTTGTTTGAAAGACAATGTGGTTTGGTCCAGTCCAAAGGTCTGGCTCAGTTCAAACAAAGTTTCATGGAGCAAGATATAACTGTCTTCCGACAGCTGCTCTGCAGTGGCTGCTTGGCTCACTTTCAAAATGGCTCCACTTATGTCAACTTTCACCGTGGTATGAATTATTGAAAACCAGTAGTATTTGATGTTGTAAGTAAAAAACCAAACAAACAAGGGGTGACTTAGTGCAAGTGCTTCTCAAACTTTTATATGCACAGAGAAAAAACATGAAGGTTTTATTAAAATGCAGATTGAGACTCAGAGGGTCTGGGATAGGGCCTGGCATGCTCTAACAAGTTCCCAGGTGATGCTACTTATGTTGGACCTTTGACTACCAGGAACCTATGAAATCTTTCCAGGTGCTGGGGAAAGAAATGATGAGAGAGGAGAAAGGTAAGCCGAGAGCAGAAAGGAAAGAATTTCTGAAAATGGAAAATAAGAAGTTATTTAGAGACTATTATTTCCAAGCAGGTTAGTAATTAATAAAAGCCAGGAACTGGGCATACATTATTTCGTTGGATTCTTACAACCTCATATAAGAGGAATTATAATCCTTATTTTACAGTTGAGAAAGTAAGTGGAAGCTCAGAGAAGTTAAGGGATGTATCCAAAGTCACACAGCAGGTCAGTGGCAGGGATAGGATTGGGACCCAGGTTTTTCAGAAGCCAGAGCCCCCCTTTTTTTCTAGGCACTGTGCTAAAATTCCAGGTGAATCTTAAACCTTTTGCTGAATTCTTCTGCCTCACCCAGGAAATGCTGGTCAGGGGACGAGGATAAGAACACCCCAGGGAACCAGGCCACTGGTATTTGAATTCGTTGGGCTCAGCTCTTACCTATACCGAAGGCTTTCTATGGCTGCTATGCCTTGTTTTCAAACACTGGGCACTGAGAGTGGGAAGTGGGAGGGGTCCCAGGGGGATTTTTACAAGTTTTGTTGGACAATTTCCACTTTGTAATCCCAGTCTCCTTTCTGAAGGTTGTCCTGTTCCAACAGCAGGACCATGTGCTGGGAAGCAGGAGCCGCAGAGGTGAGAGCAAACCATGCTCCTGCTCCAACCCGGGACCCTCGCTTCTCCATGGATGCCTGAGGTCTTTAAGGGACTATTGAAACCTAATACAGTAGTTTGGCCCAGAAATCAGCAAATGGGCAAGTGCCAGGCCCCAGGGAGGACCCTCACTTCCTCCAAGACAGGAGATAAATGGGTGCTTTGTGTTCCCACAAAGGGTCAGCCACTCAGGGCGGTGCCTCTGGGATAGGCTTCCACCGCTGCGCTGCTCCCCGGGGCTCTGGCATAAATCTGAGCCATTTCCTTCTCCAGTTTCCTACACGTGACTAGCCTTTATCTAATTTCAGCACCATGGAAGCTGGGGAGGGTTCCCTGCACAATAAATCTTTGACTAGGAAGATGGTTTTATCATTTGAAAGGATGATTGATGTAAAAGAAGGAGAAGATGTAAGTCACTCCTGTGTTCAGGGGATGATGAAGAGGAGGGGCTCAGGGTGACAAGAAAGGAAGAGGCCCGAGGCAGCGGAGCAGGGTTGAGGGGGAACAGGTGGAGAGAATCACAGAGGCACATCAGGAATGCCGGTCAGAGGCCTGATCGCAGAAAAGCATAAAAGAGCCTCTTGGTGAGAAGATAAACCCGACACACGTGGTGTGTTCCCTCTCCTCTCCAGAGGACAAGCTGTGGTCTGTTTTGATGTTAGCTTCACACATGTGCTTATGCTATTGGGTGCATTGGTTTCAGGTCTGGGATCCAGCTATAGCAGCAACCCCAGGGGTGGGGAGGGAGGGGGCAATGCCCAGAGACAACCTAGTGTGGTGTGTCTGAAGGAAAAAAGACTTACCTGTCTAATCTGGCTGAGCCAAAACCATTCTCCAGCCTTCCTGTCTCCTGAGACACTTCCTATTCCCAGGCTCCCGCTTTCCCCTCATTTCTGAGACAACACTGGCATTTCCAGGGCAGTGAGGACCAAGCCCACCAAATGCGCTGTAATACTGAATGGTGGTGGATATCCCAGATCCCTTCCACTCCGGCTGGTTTCGTCCTAGAAGCAGAGGAAAGCCAGGAAAACCCACCCTGGAGCCCATGGCTGTCACTGTTCCCCGGCCACCATTGTCTTCTGTGCCATGCTACGCCAAATTGTTGACAATACCTGTTGCTTCCACCTCCTTCATTCCCATTCTCCCAGCACTCTACCGTCTTGCTTCTACCTTACCTCACCCCACTGAAACTGCTCCTACCAATGGCATCAAGTCTGGAGCCAAATTCAGGGGCCACTT